TCATAGAGACTGCACGTGTTTGCATCACTCATTTCTTCCCTTTCCCCTACCCTCCCTAGGACCCTCCCCATTTACTAAAGCTTTGTTCAGTGTTTGCCTTCTTTTTCGTTTTTTTTTTTTAATTTTTCTATTTTCCTCCCCCTCTTGCTCCCCATCCTATTTGAACATTTTCTTCCTGTTTCCTATTACACACTTTGGTCCTTTTTACACCTGCGGTTTCTCACACCAGAGAAACAATTCGTATTTACACGTGCGTGTCCAATTTATTTCAGTTAGGCGTATGGTCTCAGTGCATCCATTTACCTGGAAATATCTTAAGCTTATCCTTCTTTATTGTATAAAAAAACCACATCTTCTTTATCTATTTACTAGTTGGTGGGCGTTGGTGTTGTTTCCGAGATTTGGCTATTATAAACTGTGCCACTATGAAAATAGCTGTGCATATATCGCTGTGGTATGACGCTTTTAATTCTTTCAGGAAGGTACCAAGAAGGGGACTAGCTGGGTCCTACTTTTTTGAGGCATCTCCACAGTGACTTCCACAGCGGCTGTGTTACAGGCAGCTGAATTAGAAATGTTACAGGGGGTCAGACAGGGCCAGGCTCTGGAAAGGGCCCACGTGAAAGACAGGGTAAGATACCGTGGGCCAGGCCTCAAGACAAAGGACTAAACAAACGCACGCGCATCCTCCCTAGAGATGGACATCAGGGGTTCATATTCTAAATAGGTAGGAATCACCTAAAGAGTCCCTGACCCAACCCCCTACAGGAAAAGCCCTGTTCTGTATTCATGCCCGCTTGCTACGTGACTCAATTCCCCATTTGATCCCAATTTAATCAGTTTTACCTGAACAATTCTTATTGGCTGACGATAGTTTTATCCATTTTTCCCTTACCTTAGACTCGCCTCTCTTCATGGTTTTGCTACAAGTCCTAGAAAAGACAGAGTCTTTTTTTGTTTTTTTTCCGGTTTTTTCCCGGTACCAGGAATGGAACTCACGACCTCACGCTTGCCAGGCAGGCGCTGTGCCGCTGAGCTAAATCCCCAGCCCCAGGACAGAGTCTTGGGTGACCCACTCGAGCTGCTCTTCTGTCCCTCTCTCTGGCAAAAGCTTTCTTTCCCCTCAATAAACATATTCTGCTCTTCACCTCCATTGTTCCTAAAATTCATTCTTGGATTTTAGAGAACACGAACTCGTCCCAGAT